GCTGCAGTGTCTTTCTGCGTCAGCCTTCCACTTCCCAGAATTCTCCTCTCTCCTTGTCCCACCTACTTCCTGCCTGGCCACTGGCCAACCAGTGTTTTATTTATTGATCAATCAGAGCAATTTGACATACAGACCGTCCCACAGCAAAGACCTTTTAAGATTTGTGCTACACCCGATGTTTCGTTATCCTTTGAGGTATCTTCTGTCCTTCTAGGGGAGCCTCATGTTTCTGTATCCTATGCACCATCTTCTCAAGCCACTCATATTCCATGAAGGTCCTATAGGAACTTGCATGTGAAGAAATAATTCCCTTCTGACCTCTTGAATAATTCACTTTCACTAATTAGATTAAGATTGTATCTCAAAGATCCTCAGTTAGATTATAAGTACAAAGAAACAAGGGATCCTCATTTCTTGAACTGAATGAGGGAAACCATCTGCTTAAAGAGAGCTTTCTGTGACCATTCCACCCCAGGATTCTCCCTGGAGTCCACCATCCCTTCTTGTTCTTCATTTTCCTTGGTAACATTCATCATTGTGTTCTATATTTTTTTGCTTGTCTCCTTTTTGTTTTTCTGTCTCTTCTTCCGTAAAAAGAATGAAAGAAAAACTTATGAAACAAAAAGGTTTCCACCTGTACTATCAATGCTAGAATAATATTTCATACACAACAGGCAATGTACAAGTATCTATCAAACACAGTTTAAGAATTATTCCTCTATTTTAAAAATAATAATTCTAATATGAATATCATTAATTGAGGCTTAGGAAGATACTATAAATAAAAAAACTCAAAGATCTGAAATTCAGTTTACTATCACAATGTCATATGTATATATATTTCTAAGTTTCTCTGTCTAGTAGCAGGTTAAGGGGAGGGTAAGTGTAGAATGGGAGTGAGAAACATAGGTCAATCCTATATCTGTTATGTAAGCCAAAACTGTCAATGTCAAATGTCTTTTTTTTACCAAGATTCCCATATTAAATTGATATAGATATATTCAGGGTGCACCACTCAAGGCATGAAATGCTTTTCATAATATTCTACAAAAAGTAGCCCTTTTGACATTTGATCTTGTGTGTCAAAACACTGAAAAACTAATTACTTGGCACTTTTTCCTTAAAATCTAACCTGAAAACTTTGATTTGAAATGGCAGTGATCCTTAAAATATCCCAAGAATCCACACACTCTACCTCTCACCTTTTCCACCTCAAACGCAACTTTTTTTTTTTGTTTTTTTGTTTTTTGTTTTTAGTTTGGACTTTGCCAAGAACAAAATTAAAGTTTAGGATGAGCCAGTTTTCAGCCATTTTAAGGGTCAGATAGACTTGCACTTTGGCACTGAAGGTATTTACCAGCTCTGTTCCATTCCTCATAGATTGGGAAATGGGGAGGAAAGGGCAAATTAAAGTGCTATAGCATTCACCCAAGCAGACATGATGCTCTAAAGAATACAGATGTAGTACTCACAGATGCAGGTTTCCAAACACTCAGGATATAAAATGAATAAACCTTAGGACAATTAGGTTGTATGTTGGAGAAAAAAAATCAATAAAAATGGTGGAGGTCTATGCCTGGGGCCATGAAGTGAACCCCAAAATCCAAGAGGAAAATGATGTCAGAGAAGAGACTAAACAATGCGTTCAGTTTAGAACATGCTCAATCTTGGATTTCAGTGAGAGATATCTGGTAGAAAAGTAGATGAGTGAGCTTAGAAGTAACAGCTTAAGTCAGAGGTTAGAGGTTTCCAGAAGATACTGCCTGCCTACTAAGATGAAGGTAAGGATTAAATTAGATAATGTATGTAATGTTCCCACTGCTTCACAGCACCAGGAACAAAATAAACCAGTTAGTATATTTAGGTGCCTCAATCCAATAAAAGCAATTTCTACACAATCCTGAGGATAATTATCAGACCAATCTCTATCCTGAGATAGAGCCTGAAGTTAAAGTTTTACTTTAACCCAAGAGGCTCTCTCTCTGGATTTTTACAGAAAGCCTGATAAGATGATTGTCAATCTTTACTTTTTCTTTGTTAATCACTGAATCATACTGAGCTGGTTTCAAGGCCATATATCCTCAGCTAGAACCAAACAATTGCCCTTTGGCTTTATGAGCTAAAAGCTGCATGGTAGAAATGACTCTATCTTGTTCAAGAAAAATCCATCCTAAAGTATTGTCTCTAAGGAAACATATTTTTGAAATCCATATCCATAAATGTTGCATAACATAGCTGATAATTCATTAATGCAATCTCCAGATAAAGGACCCAAGACTGACAAGTGTGAGAAAGATGGAGAAAAATAGAGATGAAGACGGAAGAGCACTAATTTTCTTTCATTTTAGTCTTCCTAAATCTTGCCTTAGTTTGCAGGAAGTAACTAACAGTCCACCAATGTGTATCACATAAAAAATGTTTCTTTAGGCCACTTTTCAATAACTTGATATATCAAACACTTTAAATTTTGTCTTATTCACAATCAGAAATACTATCTTTGATGCTAATTTTTAACTATGGCTATCTTAAAAAAATATACAGAAATGCTGTATGTGAATTTTGTTTTCATTCATTTTTTTTTGCCTGTTCAGAATATAAGCTGGATCAGCTAGATAAGATACTCTCACCGTCCCATGGAATTAGAGACTTAAATTTATTCATAACCATGGCTTAGCCGTAGACCTCTTAGCCCTAGCCTGCTGAAGAGTTGTAACTTGATAATGGATAATGATTGCTCCCAGGGATGTGAAGAAGCCTTGTCCTTCCAGCTAAGGATGATTGAATTGGTCTTTAATATCAAGTGGAATGATCTGAACTACATTTTCTTTATCATCAAACTGCCCTTGAAAACAGTTAGTCCACATATAATCATTTCAGGATTGGAAAAAAAAATGTCTTTTCGAAGATTGAAAAAAATCACCCAGCATACATAGCTGATTTAAAAATGTCTGAACCCTAGCTTCAGACCATAAACGTTATGATTATATAAACAAACAATGTCAGGAAAGTTACTTAATATGGTGATATTTCATAAATTATCAAAATTCTAAGTAATAAATTCTCAAAACAGAACACACTTAATTTTCCTGATGTTTATACAATGACATAGAAACACCCTATCTATGATCCCTTAGTTCTCTCAAGAAAAGTAAAAGAAAACAAAATGATTTTCCTAATAATGGCGTGAGAGAAGTGCACCTATGGCAGAGAGAGTATGCTATGTGAGGGGCATTTCCACATTGACTGGAGAAGGGTCTGGCTCAGGTGTCAGGGAGCCATTTCTCTCCTATGGCAAGGAATAGGGCTCTTACTGTGATGAACATAACCTGTGGTTCATAAGCCTTTGGAACTGGTTTGTGGAAGAGATGTGGATACACTTGGAGATGCAAAGTATGAAAATGTATCAAAAGAAAAGTGAAAGTTTTCCTGTGCAATTGGGGGGAAGCAATTTACAATACTAAGAGTTTATTGGATTTACAATAGAGACTTGGAAATTTAAGAAATGGTAGTACATTTTTTTTTGTTTTTTGGTTTTTTTTTTTGTTGTTGTTGTTGTTTTTGGTTTTTCGAGACAGAGTTTTTCTGTGTAGCTTTGCACCTTTCCTGGAACTCGCTTTGTAGACCAGGCTGGCCTTGAACTCACAGAGATACACCTGACTCTGCCTCCCGAGTGCTGGGATTAAAGGTGTGGGCCACCCACCCCCCACACCCCCACACCCCCACCTGGTAGTACATATTTATCGGGAATTTTTTTAAAAAAGACTCAAATTTCCAACCTAGGAGAAAACCCCAAAATGTTTGCCCTAGCCAGCCAAGCTGGGTAATTTTACTGTATTTTATTCACAGAGTATCTAGTCAATTCCAACTCACTTACCTAGGCTACCAACAAGTTAATGACTCATAACCAAATGAGAATTCTTTGTTCTCCTTTTATACTTTGATTCAAATAAAAGCATCCTCATTTTCCCTTCTGACAATTTACATAAGCATATCATACCTCTCCCAGCCTACAACCAGGATACTCTTCTTAAGAACCAGGATCTGTGAAATATCCACAACTCCATCTTGCCCAGCATTTAGGGTGTGGTGACAATATCCATTAAAGTCCCACACCTTTAAGAGAAAAGTGAAAATCAACATTGAGATGGAAAGACGAAAATATCTTCAGGATGTGAAATGACACAGTGCAATAGGATGATTTGGTTAAATATAGGTGTTAGTTTATCTCAGTTGTCAATTTTGTGAGGTTTGAAATCACTTAAGAGGCAAATCCCTGAGTTTACTCTGAGGATGTTTTCAGAAAGAATTAACTCCTATGGAGAGACCCACTCTAAATGTGAGTGGTTCATCCCATGGGCTGAGATCCCAGACTGAATTAAAAGGAGAAAATGAATGGTGCATGGGCACTTATCAGTCTCTGTTTTCTGATTGCGCTTTTAGTATGACCAGCCTCTTCTGGCTTCTCCACCAAGACAAACTGTACTCCAAAACATGACCCAAAATAAACCTTTTCTAAAGTCACTCTGGTAGGTATTTTATCACAGGAACATGAAAAGTAACTAATACAGAAAATTAGTATCAAGGAATAGGTCTCTTACTGTGATGAAACCAACCATGTGGTTAATAGTCCTTTGGAACTGGTTTTTGAAAAAGGTGTGGAAAACTTTGGAGCTGCAGGGTACCGATGGTCTAGAATGCGGTAAGAACTTACTGTGCTGCTGTGGGAGTTTTGCAGGAGAAGAATGCTGAAAGAAATGTGCAGAGTAGAGGGCAAGATCATGAGCTGTTAGAGAGGAACAGGACTGGGTTAGAAGATATTCATCTTATAATTCGGCAAAGAATCTGAAACCTAATCCTCATGTCGTGAGAAGTCTAGAAGAGCTGAGTTTTAAAAGCAATGACTAGCCTCTTTCTGTGCGTATGTGTGTGTGTATGCTTCTCCTGCTTTTTCTTCTTCTGTTTTTTTGTTTTATTTTATTCTAGTTTTTTTTTTCTTGCTTATTTTCTACAGATAGAAAAAAAGGTATGGAGTTGAATGGGCAGAAAGGTGTGGAGGATCTGGAAGGAGATGAGAGAGGGGAAAACCTTGGTCAGAGTAGATTGTGTGGAAAAAAATCTATTTTCAATTTTAAAAATAGAGTAGTTTGTTTGGCAGAAGATAGCATTAAGGCTGTGCTATGGATACTGTGTATTGTTTGTATCTTGTTTACCCATGAGAAAGCAGCAAGTAGATCAAAGCAGTGTGAACATGTTCAGAGTATAATGAGATTTGAGTGAGGTTAAAGTTGCAGACATGGCAGTTGAGATAAAAGCAACTATAATTGTTGAAGAGATTAATGTCATTAAAGAGATAAACAACGTTGTTCATAAAAACAACAGAAAAAGTGGCATGAGGATAAGACGTCAACCATCACGGTCTGCAACTTCTAAAAATGAAAATTAACTCATAATAAGAGAGCCTGGACTGAAAATACTACCAAAATTATTTCTTACTAGAAACCATCACCCTGACGTTGCTTATTCACATATTTGGCCATCCAGACACACGGAGGACACAATAGTTGTGGCAGAAGGGCCAAACTACAGGTCAAGATGGCAGTGGACCTTGGCAGCAACATCCACATGGTCCTGGATTGACAGATACTTAAAATATGAGAGTTAATAATTTAGGCTTGCACGAAGTTTTCAGAAAGCTGCTAAAGCCCAATAATATGTAGTAGAGTCAGATGCCCAGTAAAAGGGTTTTGAGAAGTCATTGTGTGAAGCTGTGACGGTGAAACCTAAATTACATTATAGTTCCCAGGATGTTAACGGTGCTAGAACCAACTGAGATTTGGTGAAGAAAATTGTATGCATGGTGTGGAACTTACTAAAAGAGAGTGATGTGTGCTAAGGCTGAAAAACGAGAGGGACAGCACTATCCACAGCTGCCAGGGCCCAGATGATTCCATCATGACCACAGGATAAAGTTGTCGAATTTTGTGTTTGACATGATGGGTGGATTATAGTCTTGCTTTGGCCACTCATTCTTTGCTCTACCTTTATCTCTTTATTCTGGAATGGGAATGTTTATTTTGTTATTGTATACTCTCTCTCTCTCTCTCTCTCTCTCTCTCTCTCTCTCTCTCTCTCTCTCTCTCTCT